TTTCTCAACCAACAACCAGTTCAATCGGCTCCAAATTACGACCAATTGATTCACCTTGGTTGCTATGCAATCTTACCCACGTAAGATAAGAAATGATGATGATTTATGGCCACAAAGGGTGAGAGAAGACACATCAAATGTATACTATGAAAGAATCACCAATTGCACACGTTATACCAGCGTTCTGGACACCTTTTTTTCTCACACAAAGGGGGGGCAGCCGGGATTCACTAGTTCTTCTTTCAAAATCACACACTCATCATATGAAAGTGGCTAGGGTTATAGCTAAATACATACTCTAGGGTTAGGCTTTAAGTTGGACCATTAAAGGGGTAAACGGGCCAAAATTCAAGTCATCCATAAGGAATACAATTGGGCCAGGTGTAGCTCATGGACTCGGTTGTTGGACTTATTTCATTCATCGGCCTATGCCTATGAAATAATATTAAACCACGTTAACATCATAGCTCGAGATTTATTGGGTATCAAAAACTCAACAAATCTCCACCTTGATACCCAATAAATCTGTAAGTAATCAAAACACACAGTTAACATTTGCAAAATCAAGGTAGCCAATAAAATTGGATCACAGACCTTACCTCGTGTTTCCAACTTGAAACACATATCATACATGCTCCATGTACTCGTGGGGCTAAGGTAAAAAAACACCCAAGTAGAAGCAAATATTTAACAGTAAACAATGAAGAGAAAATACACATGCGATGACGATATACTATAGGATAACACACACAGATCTTTTTAGAAACACGTTCACATAGAACCATAGATTAACACTAAGTCAATCAAACCACAGTCAACCACATATGCAACACATGCATATATGGCCCTAAGAAAAGATCTCACCACACTTATCCTATCACATTCCGTATTACTCACACCTCGAGAACACATATCTCCTCTCATCGCCCACCAAACTAACTCGACAGATCACTCAAGTCATGTCTAACTGTTAAGTCACAATAGATCCTAAGTCCACGGGATAATCCTCTATCTCTACATCACTTCTCCCAACCTACGTGGATAATGAGTCTCCACCTAACAGAAGTGATAGAAGTGCCTCTCTCACACTCCACTTGATCATGGTCTCTTTCCAGATAAAGGATTCTAGACATTTGATTACATCTCCACTCGCGATCCAAATGTTACGCTCCACATCCCCTGTACAAACCACCATATACTCCTAGGCATCTATACTCCACCTCACCAAAAGACACACACACACACTGCTAATACATCCTAACCAATTATGCATGCAAGCAATTACACCATGTAATCCTAATGTCTCAAATTCATGCAAATACACATATCAAATACATTGAAATGTAGCAGATAATCATGCAACAAAATTTAGACAATCACACACATGCAGAAAGGATCACACACAGATGCATATGCAGTGACTAGGTTTACACTTAATAAACCTCACTAGGGTCATAACTCGACCCCTCAACCAAATTTGTCTCACCTCTCATCTTACTCTTCAGCTTATCTTTCTTCTTGGGACAGTCTCTAATAAAGTATCCAGACTTACCACAATTGTAATACCTTCTACCACTAGACTTGTCTCGTCCCTTTCCCTTCTTCTTACTACCCTCATCACTCGAATCACTATCGTCTTGAGTTCTACCCAAATTCATCTGCTTAAACTTCATTCTACTCCTCATCATATATAACTCACCACTCCTCTTATCCTCTTTTTCAGCCCTAATCTCCATCTCCTTACTCCTAAGTGAGTCTATGACAATCTCAGGTGTTAAGGTGTCTCTACCATACTTAATTACATTCTTAACTTTCCTATATGAATCAGGCATGGAATTAAGTAGGATAATAGCCTTATACGTTTCAGATACCTCTTCATCACAATTAACGATATCTTGAACTAACTTGTTAAAGACATTCAAATTATCATCAAGATCCTTTGAAGGATCCATTTTAAAGCTGAAAAATCGTTCAAGCAAGCACAATTTATTAGGAGTTGACTTAAGTAAATATAAGTCCTCCTACTTTTCCCAAACTTGTTTTGTAGAATCCAGTTTTCCTACTTTTCTCAAAACGGTATCAGACATGTGTAAAATAATTGAAGTGTATGCAAGTTCATCATACTCTTCTTTTTGTACTTCTGTTAAATTTGCAGGAAATTTGCCATTTATGGCCTTTGAAACTTTTTGTTGGACAAAAATACCCTTATCTTTTGTTGTCAAATTGAAAAATCTCCTTTCCCATTAAAGTTCCAACTTCAAAGCATGAAGACATTTTTAAAAACTAGAACAACCAAAAGCACAGATAGGTCACACAAAGTTATCCTACGGCCGCAATATACACCGTTCTAGATTCCCAGAGTTTCGTAAGATTCACGATCTTAGATCAAGGGAATATTCGAACGAGTCAAGTCCAGGTGTTCTAACGGGAAAATCAATGCAACACGAAGGTATGTAAACAAAAGTTCGAATTTCCACGCAACAAGTCTCACACGGTGACTATATGACGGGTAAAGCACAAAATCAACTACCAACTTGCAATTAAAACTCAACACTTCAAAAACAGAGCACATAATTCCTAAATTTTCTAGCACAAGCAATGGTTGCCAAGCAATGACAACCTCCAATCCTAACGATCACCCCACACGATGATCTGCTAATGCTAAAATTTAAAATAAGTTAAGCCAGTATACCAGAGTGGACCTATCTGAGTCCGTAAATTATGAGAGTTGCGAATTTATCACTTTAGGACCACCATTATTCGTCCTAAAGTCTCTGGAAACTGCAGCAACCAAAAAATCACGATTGAGTCCCGAACGCCCAAAGAACAACGCTGTCCAGATTCTATTGCGTACCCTGAAACAGAAAACTTTCAACACAAAAAATGTCAGAAATAATATGAGGAACAAACTGTCTGAAGAGATCGTCGCCAGACAACGCTCCACGCTCCCTCACGTGCGGCTCCTTCCCTCTGCGCGTGGGCCTCATGCGCCACCACACGCTCCGCCGTCGACTGACACGCGCCGGCCTGCAGGGTTCGCCTCCTCCTGCACGTCACGTCAGTAGTCTCCGTTTCCTCAAACCCCTTCTAGATTGATCAGAAAACGTGAAAAACAGAGACCGATTTTAACAGTTTTTTGACAGCTTTTTCGATCTGATTTCTGCTGCGTTTCTGCCGATTTTCTGGACGATTTTTGGTAGATTTCACTAGCCAAAAACTTCACCTTGAAGTTCTGATACCAATTGTTGCGGAAGCTCTCTCAGAAGGATCTTCAAACGGTGATTTTCCAGACTCAGTCCAACACACCTTTCTCAACCAACAACTAGTCCAATCGATTTCAAACCACAACCAATTGATTCACCTTGGTTGCTATACAATCTTACCCACGTAGGACAAGAAAGGATGATAATTTATGGCCACAAAGGCTAAGGGAAAACACCACAAAGGTATACTATGAAAGAACCACCAATTGCACACGTTATACCAGCGTTTTGGACACCTTTTTTCTCACACAAAGGGGGGGCAGTCGGGATTCACTAGTTCTTCTCTCAAAATCACACACTCATCATATGAAAGTGGCTAGGGTTATAGCCAAATATGTACTTTAGGGCTAGGCTTTAAGTTGGACCATTAAAGGGGTAAACGGGCCAAAATTCAAGCCATCCATAAGGAATACAATTGGGCCGGGTGTAGCTCATGAATTTAGTTGTTAGACTTATTTCATTCATCGATCTATACCTATGAAATAATATTAACTCACGTTAACATCATAACCCGAAATTTATTGGGTATTAAAAACCCAACACCCTGTTTATTTAGAACAATTTTACTTGCTAAAGAACAGGGACTTCAGGGTTGCTCTCATTTTTACTGGCAATTGCTAATGATTATCTGCAGGTGATGTGCGCCGTCAGAGCCTTCATTAACATCCAGATACATTCCCAATTCTTACATGCTGCTACCAGCTTCGAGTGACATTTGGAATTTTTCGTGATTCCGGAAAAATTTGTCTTCCATTGGTGAGTTGTCTAGGATGATGCACCAAGAGAGTTCATCTTCTAGCATATGATTTTGAATTAAACGTTAATTCTTTGCTACACATTGTAATAAATTGCTATATATATATATATATATATATATATATAGGTAATTATAATTTTATTAATTAAAAGAGATTACATGGGATGTGTACAATCACTTTAAACAAGAGAGGAACGTCATGAAATTAGGCAACTCTTCTATAGAATTTTTAGCCACGGCATTAAACCAATTATACAAAGTCAAATAAAACATTTCCCCAATCTGTGCTATTGTCTTTGTTTGATCTTAGAAACAGCGGTTGTTTCTTTCTCTCCAAACACACCATGCAATGCATCCCGAGATAAGGTTTCATACAAGTTTGCTATCCTTATTACGGAGTTTTCGCCTCCATGCCTACAATACGTCCTCTATACGCCTTGACAGCACCCAAACCATAGATTGAGAAGCCAGGATATTGTTCCAAAGCTAGCGAACACCATCACAATAAATGAATAAGTGGTCTACCGTCTCCCCATCACTTTTGCACATATAGCACCACTGGGTTACATAAAAGTCTTTTCATCGAAAATTATCCACCGTTGACAAAATTGCTACATTTTTTTGTCATCCTGTACTTGTTAGGTACACGAATTGGCAATCATTTCCGCATTTTTTTGCCAGTGAGATGGATGTGTATTACTTGGAATTATATTCTGGGTTTCGCATATTTTAATTCTTTGCACGTGCTAAGTTCGTTGCTTAAATGTAATGACCCGAGTTATAAATCATCTCACCCCATATCAATGGAGTTGGGGATTTAAGCGCACCTCTGTATCCGCTGAATCACTCACTTTAAGGGCTTAGTCGGAGTAGAGGGGCACGTAGTATCCTGACTTGAGAGTTACATAATCAGCTTTTCAAAAACCTCACTAGCATATAAATGCATTGCTTTATAATTATACATAAATTTCTCCGTCTGAGAGAGATCAAAGGGTCAACCCCACCATCCAGTAGCATTGTTATAAAATACAGAGAGGTGCATGTGATGCAACCTCTTCCCCTTTACACTCCCCATTATTAGCAGCTTCATCAATGGGGTAGAATGGACCTACCACCAATTACAAAACCCAAAAGCAAAAGCAAAAAGACCGTCCTAATCAAGAAAAGTTTCATCTCATCTACAAAGCATAACCAAGAAAGCAACTTCCCCCAATGGTATAGATCATGACGATGGTGATGATGGTCAGAAGCCAAGAAAATTCCCAGGATCAGATGGTTCCCACTGCCCCCATCACCACCTCCATTTGCCCCACCTGGAAACTGTACGAGAACCCCTTTTATATCTCTCATCAACAAGAAAATCATCAACAAAATCTTACTCACGAGCAAATTCATCATCTCCACCTGCCTATTTCTGCACGAAAAATCGCAGCTTCTTTCTGGGATTTAACCTTTATCAAACCCCTTATGGAATCTGAACTTGAAGTTGCTCGAGGGCAGATTGTTCAGTTGAAGGCTGAGCTAGAATGTGAACGCAAAGTGCGTAAAAATATGGAGTCTCTGAATAAAAAACTGGCCAGGGAACTTTCTGAGGAGAGGAAAGGAAGAGAAGCATTGGAGAGAGTTTGCCAAGATCTTGCTAAAGAAGTATCTTTCGATAAAGGTGAATTCGACAGGATGAAGAAAGAAATGGAGGAAGAAAGGAAAATGCTACATGTGTCTGAAGTTTTAAGGGAAGAACGCGTGCAAATGAAGCTCTCAGAAGCAAAACTCTTGCTCGAAGAAAAACTGTTAGAATTGGAAGACAATAGAAGGATTCAAATTGAATCATCAAGTTTCAAGAAAGATGAAAAGAATCAAGAAAATGATATTGATCATTATCGGACTACATCTTCTTCGACTGTTAATAACAGAGGGTTTAAAACACTGTCAGTCATCCAAATTGTTTCGTTTGTTCTCGGTAATCGACTTTCTTTGTTCCAAATTAGTCACTGAACCTTTTTGTTGTGTTTCTTACAGGGACAAAATAAGGTTTGTATTGGCAGATAAACCGAGTTATAATAATACCGATAACAATGGCAAGCTTCAGTCAATGGTAATTCAGAGAAGAGCTTCTCCAGAGCCTGAAAATCCTCATATCAAACGAGGGATTAAAGGGTTCGTCGAATTTCCGAAAGTGATTCGAGCAATTGGTTGCAGAAGTAAACATATGGGCACCAAGTTGGAGTGCCAGAAGGCTCAGCTAAATTTACTACTAAAACAGAAGGGTCCTGTCCGACTCAATGGCCTTATAGCCAGCTAAGACTAATTTTCCTTTAAGCGAGTTCTTGATGAATTTATTGTCCTTTGTTTGTTGAACCATTGATGTTGTTCTTTGTAGTTATAAGTTAAGCTCGTTTGGGGAATGAATTGCCTCCCATGAACAGGATTTTCTTGTTAAAATAAGCATGTGATTTTGTAATAGTTGGAATTTGACCCAGTTATTTCATGTTTGGTATTGTTCTTAATTATTTTTATTTTTATTTTTATTTTTTATTTATTTTTTTAGAGTAAGTTAAGATTTATTTATTATTATTATTTTTTTTTTTTTAAAAAAGAAAGTTTTGATTGTATAAATAGTAACTTTAGAAATTAATTGATAAAATAAGTAACTTTTCAAGTATGTTTCAAGGTTTAACCTACTTTCTCAAGCAAGGAATAAAATATTTACTTGCAATAGCAGAAAAGGTTTAGAAAAATTAGAGAAAAGAACCTTCTTTTGAGCTATCAGAAATGGAAACATAAAGAAGTTAAAACAACTTTTGTAAGAGACAATATTGACTATTAAGACATTCTGTCGATTTTTGTTCATAACAATAAAATGTAGCAATTGAATCAACACCTTCGCTGCCACAAAAATAAAGTATGAAAGTTCAATTAGAAAATTTATATACCATTTTCAATTTTTTTAAAAGAAAATTTGAATTTGAACTGGTCTTTTCTAGTCTGATTTGATTCCATCATTGATGATCAGTGTGATGTTGCTAAAATTTGTTAAAATTTTATCAATGCTATGAAATTCGACCAATTTTTTAGCGAACAAATATTTTACCAAACAAGCACTCGACATGGAACTATTTCATTAAAAAACATCAAAATTTAGAAAATCAAGCATATAACATTTTATATTTTAGTCCATAATTCTCTTGTGAAAAAAAAAAAAAAAAAAAAAAAAAAAAGAGGTCTTGGGATAAAAATTTTCCACAAAAAGGAAAAAAGAAAAAAAAAAGTCCAAATTTTCATACAAATGATAATCCTAAAGATAGGGTCCGAATAGTGTTGGTTTACCACGATAAGAGGGATGTTGGAAGGACAGTCCGCACAGGGCGTTGAATGCCCCAGGCGCGGGGCGCCAATTCGACGCCTTTGGACAGGGCCAAAGGCCAAGAAGATTTAGCAACAACGATAAATCAGGGATTAATCAGATATATGCGCTAGTGATTTTTGGGTTTGTGCATATTTACTATTTGAAAATGCATTTTATCATATTTACTGAAGCGATAATTGCATCAAAGCCCCAAACCATTTTCTTTTGTACAGACTTTGCGTAAACATTTCATTTATACCATATACGATTTCTAACCTTTCATTTTGTTGCAACAGAAGAATAAATGGACGGATTAATAAAATAATTAAATTAAAGATTATATGAAATTAATTGTTCATCTTTCCAAATTCCCAACCCCACCCATCACCAAAACCAAAACCCAAGAAACCCACCCGCTGTCAGGCATCATCATCGCAAATCGTCAACACCACTGTACCCAAATCAATTACACAAACCTGGAGTCAAAAGGAGCAGGATCTTCCTCCTATGTATGTGTGGCCGAATCTTCTCTCCCTTGTAATTTTGTAGTGGGAAATTTTGATAGCAAAAAAGTTAAATATCATTCATTTCAAAGCTAAAAATAAACGTTTTAAATTTAGATTTTTTAAAAAAAAATTATTTATAAATTAATTTATTAAACATATATTTTATTAATTAAATATATTGAAATCACAATTCTATATAATTTGATCACAATTATCTAATTAATTAGTCACAAATTAATTTTTAGTATCAACTTATTTCTCAATCACAAATAAAAAAATTTATAGGTCACAAATTATTTTTCAATCATGAATCAAAAATTTTATAGGCCACAAATTATTCATCAGTCATTGAATTAAAACTTTTATTGGTCACAACTCATTTATTCATTGAAAATTATAAGATGAATTGGACACGGTTATTTTTTCGGTCACAACTTGATCAATTGTGAGCCACAATCACAATTTTTTGGTCACATGTTACAAATTAACCAATTATTAGTCATGATTAATCAATTTGTGATTTACAGTCACAACTGCTTCTAGCAACACTACCGCCGCCGTTGCTACTACAACGATGACAACAACCAACATTACCACAAATACCATCACGATGGCTATACTACCACCGCCAACACCGTTGCCTGTACCAACATGATCATGACAACCACCAATTGCATCAACAATGCCTGTACCAAATCCATTATGTCATCCACCTTTACGCCTTCTACACCTATATGGTTATACCTCAATATATCACAACCGCTGCCACCAACCAAAAAAAAAGGCTGTTGTCCCTACCACCTACACCGCAGTCGCCACCACAAACAACAAAGTTCCTAAGCAAGCCATCATCACCCCCGGTACCTACACCTCAATACACTACAAATCCACTAAAAAACTCTTGCCGCGCATCGTTGCTGTACGTTTGTGCACTTCGCGTGCAATAGGCATGCTACCACGGTGAAAGCAGACTTGTTGCTGTGCATTCCACACTAACCATTGTCGTCGGTGGAAGGACAAGGATCGATGATTTGCTGTACATTTCGATCTGCCACTGATTGACTGGTTCAATCGGGAGAAGGGCATACCGCTCTTCATGATGAAGGTAAGTCATCGAAGATCTACGCACTGACTGTGGAGGTAAGTCGTCGAAGAGCTGCACACCACTGATGGCGGTAAGTCGTCGGGATGAAAAGAGAAGAAGAGGTATAGAGAGGGAAGGGGAAAGTGATTAGGGTTAATGATGGTGGGTGGGCAATGTAAATTATATTAATTTTATAATATTATTATTAATATTAAAATTTCTAATTATAATTTAATTTTTGAATAAACAAACTTTGCATTTATTTTTTGAAGTGAGATCTTAAAAAATATGGATGGGCATAATTTCCATTTTTTCAGTTCTATTTCTTTGCCCATTAAGAATGGCAGCGAGATATACCAAGACATTTAGCACCAATTTGGCCCCCATTATTGTGTTTGAGCCACATTCTTTTGAAATAATGTATTTTGAAATAGTAGATTGATAGTGAATATGTAGTTAAAAAATGAGGAAAATTTTTGGATTTACGTGTAATATTATTTTATTGAAAAATGTGTGATTGAAATGATGTCAAATCACTGTTTAATAATATTTTTTTTTTTTGAAATAACGCAGCTCAAACAGGGATATTATAATAAGAGGAATGGTAATTTTTGAAAAATGTGTGGTTAAAAAAAGTAAAATATTTTGAATTTACGTATAACATTATTTTATTAGAGAATGTGTGATTGATAAAGGAGAAAAGAAAAATGAATTATAATTTAATGAAATATAATGGAGGCCAAACAGGTGCTTATTGCATCCTCATCCATGTTATAGGTGTTTAGGAGATGGGATGGAGATTAAAATTTTTTCATTTATTGTTTTATATATATAAGAACAATTAGCACAAAACGTTCTTATCTTTCAATGTTATTGTGCAAAACGTCCATATTTTTCATTTTTGACCCTTTTATCATTACCTTTACCTTTTATTGTGAAAATCATCATGTTCATCCAATTTTTCGTGTAAAATGACAAATATACCTATTAATTAAATTAAAAAATAAAACAGAAAAGAAAAGTTAAAGAATAAATTGCAGTCATACTTCCAAATTCTTAAAAAAAGTGCAAATGAGTTCAATTAATTATTACAAGGGTAATAATCACAAAACATTCCTACATTTCGTTATTATGCAAAACGTCTATATTTTTCATTTTTTAATATTTTCACCCTTATTTTTATATTTTATTAAAAAAATCATTATTTTTCATCTATTTTCTCAATTAAAAGATATAAAATGACAAATATACACTCTTTAAATAAATAACAATAAAAAACAAATCGCAAGTATACTCCCGAATTTTTCAAAAAAAGAAGTACAAATAAATTTCAAATAAATAATTTAAAAAAATCACTTTCTTTTTTAATTATTTATTTGGAATTTATTTGTATTTTTTTGAAAATTTTGAAAATATAGTTGGAATTTGTTATTTATTTTTCATTTTTTTAATTTAAAAAGGAGTTTATATTTGTCATTTTACAACTTTTAAATTTGTTTAAATTTAAAGAATAGGAATAATGTAGATAGAAATCCCGTATTTTACAACGAAAAGAATAGCAACCAAGTTCAAGGTGCGAGATCCGTTCATTTTTTTTTCTCTAATAGATGGTTAGAACTTCATCTGGGTTCATAGTGGGTAAATTAATGCCCCAAATAGTGAAAGAATCACATATGCCACCTCTATGAGCTTCCATTTAATTGAGAAATAAGTTTGATTGGCATCAGTTTTACATAGACATAAGGCATTCTTCGAATAATTCAAATCGAAGCAATTGGATGTCCGTACCAATTGCGCCATTTTTTTATGTTTTTCCCGGAGGTCTGGAGTGCCTGATTGAATTGATCAAGTCATATAGAAACAATATTTAAGTCTACTGATCTATTAGGATGTCTCACTCGACATGAATTAGGCGTTAATAAAACTTTTCACAAGAATCTTTCACAAACTTCCCACTTTTAATTGAGAAAAATGGATAAAAATAATGATTTTTGTAATGAAATATGAAATAAGGGTGAAAATGTCAAAAAATGAAATGAAGGGACGTTTTGCACAATAGTAATGAAAAGTAGAGACGTTTTGTGCAAATTATCATTTTAATAATCTACTTGGACTTATTTGCACTTTTTAAAAAAATATAAAAGTATGATTGTAATTTATTCGTTAACTCTTCTTTTCTTTTCTTTTTCATTGTTTTAAATTATAAAAGGGATATATTTGTTATTTTACACGAGAAATTTGATGAAATGGATGCTTTTCGTAATAAAAGATGAAGATAAGGGTAAAAGTGTCAAAAAATGAAGAATATGAACGTTTTGTACAATAATATTGAAATGTAATAACGTTTTATACTAATTATTCATATATATATATATATAAAACATGGTCATGAACGGTTGATGATCCCACACCTCATCACCTCCCCAAAGCCCAATGCAGTGGGCCTAAAAAATTACAATTCCCAATGCTAAAAATAGGAAACGGCATGCCGAACGAAAGAGACGTGTTTGACGGAAACCGTCAATCTCTAGAAAAGAGGATATAATCTTATTCACAAACTTAACTTTAATGAATGAAATAAGCCTCGTTTAAGCTCATTTTTCAACAGTACATTTAAAAAAAAAAAAATCAACTACATATATTTTGATAAAATGATATTATACATAAATCATTTTTTTAGCTACACATTTTCTAAAAATTCACTATTACAAAATCTATTTTTACCAAATGGTGGGACTCAAACAAGGGCTAAGTCTAATTTCTATTCAAAACTTCAATATTTTAGATTTCAACTGCCTAGCAGATTTGCCATTTTAATATAGAATTGAAAAGATATTATTAACGGAAAAATTAAAAGAGCATCCTTTTTTTTTTTTTTGGGATAAAAGAAGTCTTAGAACAATCTGTCATTTTCGTCCATTTCCACGATATGGTGTACGTTAGTAAAGACGTGAGGATGGATTTCAAGTTTCAAGGTCATTCGATATGCTCAAGTTTGACAACTAAGTACAATTGACTTATTTATGAATTTGGACGATAATAACATGTTGTGTGGAATGTCAACGTTGCACTCACGATATATGTTAGCTCGAGTTATGTTTTTGGTATGTTGGATTTGATCACACGTGTTTAGTTTTCATGACTTTGAAGCTTGGTAGAATAGTGAGGTCCGATTCATATCATTTATTTATAATTCGACTTATTTTATGGTTGAACTCTAGTAGATATGCAGTATTTTTCTGGCTATGTAACAGTTTTAAGATTAATTGCATCATAAAGATTATTAAAAAAAAAAAGGTGTACACTTCAAGGTATATACACGAAGTTACATCTAGAGATGACAATTAAACTCGTCGGCTCGGACCGCCTGTGGCTCGGCTTAGTTCAAAAAAAGCCAGAATCAGCCCTGCTTAAGCCTCGAGCCGAGCCCCATTTTGGGGAGCCGGGCAAAATCTGATTCGGTCCACGTGGTTCACAGGCCTATATTTAAAAAAAAAAAAAAACATTTAAATGGCAGCACTCTAAGGCAGCCGAGTGCTACCTTCATTTAACTTAAAATTAAAAAAAAAAAAAAACCAAAATCAAGCTTGCTTGGCTTGGAAAGGCTCGAATCGAGCCTAATTTTTTTGGTCAAGCAAAAGCTCGGGCCGGCTCGGGTTTGAAAAGAAGCTCGCTCATTTGACCTTAGCCGAGCTCGAGCCTTTGGGCTAGTTGACATCCCTAATTACACCTCTTAACCTGAAAGGGATCCACGCAGATTTCATTGTGTGAGCACCCTCCATATGAGTGAGAAAATCTTTGGTAGAAAGGTTGTACTGTCCTACGTTGTATGATCGTCCAATGGGGAGCTACCATCACATCTGGTGGTCCTCTCTCACCCAATGGGATAAGATCACCTTGAGAGTCGGGACTTGAACAATGCGATTGTCTCATAAAAAATTTTCTCCATGTGGGGGATGTAGCATAGCATTACCGAGCAGAATGTACGATCCCTAATGACTGACCATAAAAATTACAGCTCAGATATTCCAAATTTACAGAACAAAAGAAGTAAAAGTCAAACTGAGACTTCTTTGTACTTTCCATTTTGTAATGATACCACCTACTACTATTTTACTCCAACTTAGAGTTGACTGTCAAAAATTCACTCTGTTAAGTCCCACAGTTTGTAATGTGTGTGTGTGGGGTCCACAGAGCATTTTGTCTATGTAAATTGTAATGAAAGTATAGGAAGCAAATTCCAAAACCAAAACCCCAAGTTCAAATTGGCGGCACCGTATCGATATTTATAGAGAGAGAGAGAGAGAGTGAGAGAGAGAGCGCATTTTGGGGTAGGGTTCTTGCAGAAGGTCTTGATTCTGTATCGTTAGGTGAAAAAATAATGGGGGATGGGAATAGAATTGGGATTGATTCGTCATCGTCATCATTAGAGTGTGATTTTGGGTTGGGTTTGAAGATGCAGGTGCAACCCACTGAATCATCAACTTGTAAGAGGGCCATGGTCTTCCCTCATTATTATCAGCTTTCTTCTTCCCAGAAAAATAGCTTTTTTGGTGTTGGAGGTGGTGGGGGCGGCGGCGGTAGTGGACGGGCCAACTTTTATAACACAAATTATAACGAGGCAGTAGGGTGTGTGAACAATATCTACGATTCTATGGGCGGCGGCGGAGAAGTTTTTCCGAGGAGCTCTGACAATAGTGCTTTCAAAGGTGCTCTTTTGTATCTATTTAATCTTTTTTTTTTTTTTTTAATATTCTTGTTCCATTTTCTCATAGGACATCTTCAATGCTTACCTCAAAACACCAAAATGCACCAAAATAACTCCAAACTTTGCACCAAAATGGTGCAAAGTGTCAAAGTCATTTTTACCTTTCATTTTCCTTTCCAAATAAATTGATTAAGGGTATTTGTGTTATTTGTGCAGTATATTTTTTAATACAATGAATTATTATTATTATTAGTTCCATTTAAGATTTATTTTAAATGTAAAAACTAATAAGTAATAAATTAATTAAAAGAAGAAAAAAATTTAAAATACAACGAATACGATTTATTAATGAATTTAATATTTTTCGTAATTTAATTTAATTATTTATTTAGTAATTTATGTATTTATAAAATAATTAAATAAATAATTTTTCAAATAAATATATTATAAAGAATAAAAAAAGAGAAGAAAATGGTTAAACTATTTTGTATAATTTTTGGTGTAATGATTGGAGATAAATTTTAGTTTGATACAAGATTTAGTGTAAAATGATACAAATTTGGTGTAGCGTGGGAGATTGCCTTAACAAAAAATGGATTTGACTGTAAAGAAATGGGAGTTTTCTACTAGAAGAAAGGGGGAAAAAATTAAAATAAAATAAAAATGTGAGGCCGTGATAATTATTGGTGCTTTTTGCAGGAGCCATGATAATGTCTGGAAAAGCTCTTTTTACAGGAACACAGTGGCAAGAACTGGAGAGACAGACAATGATATACAAATACATATTGGCTTCTATCCCTATTCCACCTCAACTCCTCTTACAGCTCTCAAATGCCCCAATTCTAACACATGCCTTCCAATCTAAAAGTAAAGTTCCCTTTAATGTATATTTGTTTATGTCAAATTCATATTGATTGTTTGGTGGTTGTCAATTACATGTTAAAAAACTGCGCCTTTAGTTGCATGATGTCGAGAAAAGTAGGTGAAAAGCGGGTTTTAAGGAAAGTAAATATGCTGATATGTTTTTTGTGTGCAGCATCTGGTTTGGATTTGAGGTTCTCGAGCGGGTCGGATCCAGAGCCATGGAGGTGCAGGAGAACAGATGGGAAGAAATGGAGGTGTTCAAGGGATGTAGCGCCTGATCAGAAATACTGTGAGCGCCATGCCCACAAAAGTCGACCCCGTTCAAGAAAGCCTGTGGAAACTCAATCCCTGAACACTACTACCAACAATTATTCTCAACAATCTCTTCTCCTTCCACCTAATACTACCACTCAAAACTCAATGGACTTCGCTAATCCATATGACCAAACAAGGTGAGTTTAGGGTTTCAAGAATTTCTTTCTTAATATAATGTAATTTTTTATGGCTTAAAGTGGAAAAAGGGATACGGAAATCTTCTAAATACACCGGCCATACCTAATGCTGTTGACAAAATCTTGTTTAGCCCCGTTTGGTTCTGATTTTTCAACCTAAAAAATCTTTTTATTTTTATTTTATTTATATTTTTATTTATCGTTACTTTTCTCAGTCGGCTGTCATTTTTTACTTTTTAACTCATGGGTGGACTCACTTTTCTATCTAACTATCAAAAAATTGATTCACAAGATCATTACCAAACAGGCCCCTAGTCTATGTTTGGTTTTGCTACAAAGTAAAAAATAGTTGAAAAGGTGAATCCCGTATGGTTAAAATTATTTATTGATATTAACTTTGATTTTGACCATTTTTTAGCTAAACTAAAAATGGTTTATCATGTGTACAATTCTTATACTACATCAGCACTTTTGACATATTTGGTGGACGATTAATACACGGTGCTAAGAAAATTTTCTTTATGTAGGCATTTTTTGTTCTTATCCATGATAAATTTATGTTATAGCCTGTGGTTCTAGTCTCCTCTGTCGACGTGCAAATAAATGTGGGTTCTAATTTCTTTTGTATATTTTGATTCTTGATATTGCTTAAGGTGCACAGAATGGTTGATGGGAAGTGTAAGCAGCAGTGGCACCATCCCCGTCTCTACTTGTAACCAACAATGGCATCAACTTATGCAGTCATCATCAAAAGTGGAATATTTGAATAGAGACAACACTGTCCAAAACGAGAATAATGTGTCTACATTTCAATACGATGATAAACAAGATTTCATGAACTTATTTCTTGATCACCCCAAGTTAGCCTATTTACAAGGAAACCTTGATTTAAACACTGAAAAAACACAGACAACGAGGCGTTTTATTGATGAAAGGTCAACAGGAGAGAAAGACGGCGATGAAGGGTCTGCTGCATCTTTAAACAAGAAGATGTTTTCACCCTCGTCTTTGACTCTATCAATGTCAAGAGGAATTGGGATTGGCGATGATAATGACCACAATGCTGCAATTGGTATTGGGACCATGAAGACTGTTAAAGAAAATGATGGATTTTTGAATTCTGTTTCTTGGATGAATTCTCCGCAGGGTGGACCGTTGGGTGAAGCATTGGGACTCGGCAATTCCACCGCAGGTGGTGGTGGAAAGGGGTGTTCGGATTTGGCTTCACCTCATGGGTATAGCAATAGCACTGCTAATAGCAGCAACTGCAGTAAAAGTTCTTGCGAGGATGGCAGCTATGCACACAATTTTATCGGTTGACTGCTCAACTTTTTGAACTTGAGCCTAGTGCTGGCCAAACAGAAGCTATTTGATGTGTTTATTTCGTTTAATTTGGTTCCCTTACTCTTCATGACTCTTTTATTTATGTACATTTGTGTCCTTTTCATAATTAGCAATAGATACGCTGCACTGTTCGCTTTTAAGGTGGCCCGTGCCATTTACTATGTCCAGAATTGCTCATCGGTGGGCCAACTGTATTGGGCTTATTGTGCTCGTACAATTATTTGCATGGACCTATATAGGTACTCTTTTAGAAATGTGATTGCCTGGGTGGTCGTCATATGTGGGCAGCACTCGGTTCGTGTAAAAATGGTGCAGCCTTGAGCCAATCTGAGCTTTTGTTCGGCCAAAAAAATTTAGGCTCGATCCAAGCTTTCGACTCGAGCCTTATCGATTCGGGCCAAGTTGAGCTAGCTTGCGAAATTATTATTATTATTATATTTAATGACAAGTTGCTACAACCACACGTTGCTTGCTAGCCTGGCAACTAGTCAAGCAAAGCTGCCTACCTTGCTTTTTATTTTTTTTTAATTTTTAGTTTAATTTTATTTATTTTAAGGTTTGGCTTGGAAAATGGCCTGTGTGGCTTGACGAGCCACATGGGTTGGTTTGGTGTTGGTCAACGATCCAAAATGGGGGTCGGTTTGAGCTTCTGCTCGATAGATGCCGAACAATGAGTCGGACAAGCTCGGGCCTTTATTGGGTTGAGTACCAGTCGATGAGCCAAATTGACACCTTCAAGTTGGGCCTTGAGAGCACCAACAATGTCTCGTGCAGTCTGACACATTTGGCAAGTGGCAATAGAGACTTGCAAATTTAATACCCCAGTTTCACAATTGTGCCGTCACTAACGCTTATTGCAGTATGTTGTTCCGAATTTGTTGTTCTTTTGGTTGTTTCTTTGTATATTTTTTACCCTTCAATAACCATATTTTAACAAATGAGAAGATATTACGCTCCGTTTGATTCGCCAAATTTTCCATGAAACTTGGAATTCGAATTCCAACTTTCACTTTTGGCCTGTTTGATTGACAAAATTTTCTAGGGAATTCATTTTTCATGTAATTCTAGGTACAACACCTTAAAGCGTGATTTTCCACCTTTTATTTTCCTAGGAGGTTGGTGATTTTTGGTTTTCAACCTTTTTTTTTTAATTGTTGGCAATGAGAACAAATTTTAGAAACAATTGTAAAAGAGGATATACCTGAAATTGAGAATTTTCATGTAAAACAAAGTCAAACGAACACAAAAATATAGAAGATTTTTTGATTTTTTTTTTTTTTGACAATGGAAACAAATTCTAGAAACAATCGTAGAAGTGTATATCCCTTAAATTGACAATTTTCATGTAAAATAAAGTCAAACGAACACCAAAAAATACTTTTACTTCAACATTTTCC